TAGAGCCCATTCTAAAACAGACATTTAAAAATAAAAACACCCCACACACACCAGTCATGAGCTTCAATGAAAACACCAGAACTTCCTCTGCAACCTTTGTAGCAGCAAACGGAACCCAAGAGGGAATCAAAACATTGCTGCTTACATTGTGCAACCTAAAACAGAGGAACAAACAAATCAGTAACCTGTAGTGAATTTTTTATTTTTTTTTAATTATTATTATTATTACCTCGAATAGTGGCACTCAATTCCAACAGCTGCTGCATCAGTTCTTACAATGGGAGTTCCTACTAAAGCCTCAGGAGTATAAAGCAGGGTAAACGTATAGACCAGCTCATTGTCAGTCATCTGAAATGAAATTAAGAAATCTGTACAGTAACTTATACTGTCAATTACTGCTGTAATCAAGAAGTAGTCACTCACCGTCAGAGAGCTGCCACATGTCTGGAGCTCATACTCAAAGATAAGCACTTGAGCTTCTGGATCCTCCCCTACAACTGCACAGCCTCCTAAACTGAGGAATGAAGGATTGACCAGCTGACCAGTACCAAAGAAGTCCTTCTTAACCTCCACATGCACAGAGCTCTCTCCACATTGTGCAGCAATACTCCGTGCAGGGATGGGTACATGCAACTCAAAAGGAACATCTGGCTGTTGGGGTTCTTCTGGTACTACAGGAAAATGCCAGGTCAAAGGTGCCACAGGAGCCTGCATTAGCCGTTTAGACTGAGTGTTTCCAGGTTCTTGGAATTTCCATGGATCTACCCAAGCAGGACTCATTACAGGTCTTGTAGGTCTAAAAGCAGCTGACGTCTGTAGACTTTGGACAGCTCGCTGAGGAGCTAAAACTGTTGACTGTTGTTGTTGGAATCTTGTTGGATCCTGGCCTTGTTGAAATCCTGACCACTGTGCCAAAGACAAGTCAACTGCAATAAGCAGAAAGAATCCAGCACTAATAAAATACATCAATACCATTGTTATAAAACTCTGATAACCTCCGAATGCTTGTTGTGTGCCTGCTGTGCCTTTTTCTAGAGCAGGAAATTGCAGTGACTCCACCCCCTTTTGACAAGCTTAATGTTTCTCCAGACTTGCTTCTTAATTACCATTCCTGCCACAAAGGAGATCACTAACAAGATTGGCTGTAGTCCATGTTGGTTTTATTAGCAAAGTTTTTTTTCCACGTAGTGATTTCTTTGTATTTTCATCGTATTTTTTAAACCTTAGTTTGAGATAATATGACAGTTAAATAAGACAAATATATTTTTGATTGTATACATATTGCTCTTGTGAGATGTAGCATGTCATAAGTAGTGAGAGGTACCTAGTTGGAAATAAACGTATATACACCCCAACAATGTTTATGTCTCATGCACACAGTAAAGCCTCCCAATGATAATCCACTGCCATATAAACTCCTGTGCAGTTGTGTTCTCACAGACTCTGTCAACTACCAAACAACAAAACACTTTCGCATCCTCTACACTTCAAAACAGCTTGAAAACGTCCACAGCCTGTAATATCCCATCGCTGTGGCAAAAATGAATTAGGGAAGTTAATGTGATTTTTGCATTAGCAGATTAGAAACGTCTTTCATGCTCTCATTCCCATATTAGACCACAGCTAAGCCCGAATAGCTTTCTCTTTGTGCTTAACCTCATAATGTCAAGAGGACCAAACTCACTTTGAATGTGGTGGGACACGTCTCTTTTTTTTCTGAATGAAAAAGTTTGAAAAGGAGATGAGGAGGAGGATTGGGACACTGTATAATTATCATGCTGGTTTGCATTTGAGTGCTCAAGTTCAGCAGTGTCCACATAAACTTTCTGATCATCTTTTGTATGGTCAGTTTTGCATGAACTTTTCAATTAAACTGTGTATTTCGCATGGATTCTAGAAAATTCCACATAGATGGAATGCAAGCATACAGTCATTGTGGAAAACTGGATTTTACTTGGTCAATTGAAATGAAAGTATTCAGAGTAGGCTACTTTGTAAACAACAACTTTGACCAAATTAAAAAGTTATTCTATGCACTAAGGGGCAGTCATGGCCTAATGCTTAGAGAGACAGGCTTGTAACCCGTAGGTTGCGGGTTCGAGTCTCAGGTCTGGCAAGGATTGTAGGTGGAGGGAGTGAATGACCAGCACTCTCTTCCACCCTCAATACCACGACTGAGTTGAGATTCTTGAGCAAGGCACTGAACCCCCAACTGCTCCCTGGGTGCCACAGCAATATGGCTGCCCACTGCTCCTTGTGTGTGCACTTGGATGGGTTAAATGCAGAGCACAAATTCTGAGTATGGGATACCATACTTGGCCACAAGTCACTACACTTCACTAAAAATAAGTCCTTTGCTGATTGGACAGTACACACTTTTTAGTATGTGGTAAGATACTACCACGACGTAAAATACTCTTGATGCATGCCATTATCACATATTATTTGTGTTTGCATGTAAAAACTACCATCTTCATTTCTTTTTTTTTTTGCATTTTGTTACTCATTTCACGTGACGAAAGTTTAGATAAACATAACATAGGTATTTTACATAATGACCTTATCAAAAGTCTGTTTAATACTAGGGGTCAAAGTAAGGGTAAAAACAATCATATGAAACATCATAGAAAAAGATTGTGTATGAATGAATAACACTTAGCTAGCAACTAAAACACTCTAACAGCCATTAAGAAGACGCTATAAACCAGTCAGGAGACCTTACCAATCACTAGGAGCTCCCAGTAACTGGTTGAAATACACTAGCAATGGACCACAACAGCACATATCTATACATCTAACTAGGTCTAATGTGTCTGATAAGGTCTAATCGGGTAAGATCTGATCTAATGGGGTCTGATCAGATATAATGGTTTTTGAAGTGGTCTTAAAGGGTTTGATGAGTTCTAGTCGGTTTGATCATATCTAATGGGGTCTAATGCAGTCTCATTCAGCCTGATACAGCAACACTGGCTCAACCAATGACCAAACCAATTAGTTTGGGGCATGACAATTACATTTTTTTCTAATCCATTTGGTGAAGTATGGCAAATATGTATACTGTATCATCACTACTGTGAAGCTGTAGCTGGAGTATAGCTAGGGGAAAAAATTATCTGCTTTCTTTTCCATTTTCACATAATTTCCAAAAGGACTCTTCTTTTTCCCAGGCACTCACTCTGTCCCAGAGGAGGTCGCTGGGTAACTGGGCTGGTTACTGGCCTGTCCAAACACAGGCCAAGTGAGATGAAGCTGAATGCAGCAAGTCAACAACTGATTTTGCTCCTGCAAACCAGCACCTGACCTCTGAGCCGATGCAACTCTCACAGGGGAACTCTTTAATCATGGCTTTCTTTCTACACTCAGTTCAACAGAGATTAGATGACCAAATCAATTAGGTGCTGAACAAGAATGTGAGGAGCAGGGATAGAGAAAGTCAGAAAGAATCCTGCTGAATCACACAGCAGGTCAAATGCTGCTGCACTCTTACAAAGATCTGATGATTGTGCGACAGAGAGGAGTCTAGCTAATACAAAAGATTTTGACCCTGTAGTGAACCCTAGACAGAGACCATGGCAAAAAAGGAGAGAAACCAAGGTATGTGTTGAACTTAAGATTTTTGCACAGACTACTTCCTTCGACAAACACCTTCATTTCTGAAAGCCATGGTCTCCACACTCCACGTCCTAATCCAAGAGAGGTTTGCTTATTTTTTTTAACATTGCCCTCTCCGAGACTGCAATTACAGACCTGTGACAAAAAGCCATCCCTCCACACTTTTCATTAGCTTCACATTTGCCCTCAGTCCCTGCAACTCTAATACACTCGCTTGTGGAGAAAGGCTTAAGGAAAGCTCCATCTTAGCCTTTGACTGCCGTCCCCTACACAGCATTGATTGATCTGTCTTTGGGCAAGCCACGCTAGCTGTACATCCAAATCTAAAAGCAAACATTAACAGCTGTCCTCACCGCCTGGCCCCTTTTCAATGTTGTGCGGCGAGATCATTTGTCACCGGAACAGAGTAATAGTGTTTGCCGGCACAGGGCGAGGTTGCTTCTGCATACCGCATTATAACACAGAGAGATTGCTCCCCAGAGACAAGCATGAGAATATAAATGATCAGAGCTTGATGATGGTGATGGCTCGGTTCACTATTTTCCCTCCTGGGTTTTTTAGGACGCAATTGTGCTGGACATTTTTACCTGTGCTTTTGAGTGAGTATTTTAACATTTACAGTACATAAATTCAGTATCTATCTATCTATCTATCTATCTATCTATTTATGGCATAGGTTACTATTCAAAACTTTGGGGTCTGTAAGAGCTTTTTTCTTTTTTTCTTTTCTTTTCTTTTCTTTTCTTTTCTTCAAGAAATTAATACTTTTATTCAGCAAGGACAAATTAAATTGATCAAAAGTCACAGCAACATTACAAAATTTGAAAAAAAAAATTGTAACAGTAGGCCTACAATAACAATAATATAACTATATATATACAGTGGGTACGGAAAGTATTCAGACCCCCTTAAATTTTTCACTCTTTGTTATATTGCAGCCATTTGCTAAAATCATTTAAGTTAGTTTTTTTTCCTCATTAATGTACACACAGCACCCCATATTGACAGAAAAACACAGAATTGTTGACATTTTTGCAGATTTATTAAAAAAAAAAAACTGAAAAATGCTCAGTATTTAGTAGAAGCACCCATTTGATCTAATACAGCCATGAGTCTTATTGGGAAAGATGCAACAAGTTTTTCACACATGGATTTGGGGATCCTCTGCCATTCCTCCTTGCAAATCCTCTCCAGTTCTGTCAGGTTGGACGGTAAACGTTGGTGGACAGCCATTTTTAGGTCTCTCCAGAGATGCTCAATTGGGTTTAAGTCAGGGCTCTGGCTGGGCCATTCAAGAACAGTCACAGAGTTGTTGTGAAGCCACTCCTTCGTTATTTCAGCTGTGTGCTTAGGGTCATTGTCTTGTTGGAAGGTAAACCTTCGCCCCAGTCTGAGGTCCTGAGCACTCTGGAGAAGGTTTTCGCCCAGGATATCCCTGTACTTGGCCGCATTCATCTTTCCCTCGATTGCAACCAGTCGTCCTGTCCCTGCAGCTGAAAAACACCCCCACAGCATGATGCTGCCACCACCATGCTTCACTGTTGGGACTGTATTGGACAGGTGCCTGGTTTTCTCCACACATACCGCTTAGAATTAAGGCCAAAAAAAAATTAACTTAAATGATTTTAGCAAATGGCTGCAATATAACAAAGAGTGAAAAATTTAAGGGGGTCTGAATACTTTCCGTACCCACTGTATATAACTATATGTATATAACTATAACTATATATATGCAAGGGAGGCGCAATGTCTCCTCAAAAAATTGGATGAGAAAATAAATGATATTACAAAAATGAAACAACGCAAATATTACTAACAAATATGGCATTAAAAGTATAAAAGTCACTCATTTTTATAAAGTAACATTGTCCAACAGCGACACCCGCAGGTAAAGTTACATCGGAGGCTTGCCTCCCTTCAGTCCATAGACTTTCAGCAGAGACCCCATAGCCAGGGCCGTATAAACCATTGGGCTATGCGGGGCTGAAGCCCTGGGGCCCGAGCAAGGAGGGGGCCCGTGATTGGCTGTGGAGTAGATTGACTGGAGCGCCGATGGCAGAGGATCCCCAAATCCAGTTGTGAAAAACTTGTTGCATCTTTCCCAATAAGACTCATGGCTGTATTAGATCAAAAGGGTGCTTCTACTAAATACTGAGCATTTTTCAGTTTTTCTTTTTTAATAAATCTGCAAAGATGTCAACAATTCTGTGTTTTTCTGTCAATATGGGGTGCTGTGTGTACATTAATGAGGAAAAAAATTAACTTAAATGATTTTAGCAAATGGCTGCAATATAACAAAGAGTGAAAAATTTAAGGGGGTCTGAATACTTTCCGTACCCACTGTATATAACTATATGTATATAACTATAACTATATATATGCAAGGGAGGCGCAATGTCTCC